CTCTCTCTCTCCCCCCCCTTCTTTCTTTCTTTCTTGTCTTTTTGAGACAGGGTTTCACTATGGAGTGCAGGCTGGCCTTGAACTCACATTGATCCTCCTGCCTCAGCCTCCTGAGTGCTGGGATTACAGGCATGCACCACTGCACCTGGCTGATCTCTGTTACTGTTTTGAAAAATACCATTCTGTTGGGGGCTAAGGACAAGTAGTTTAACCTGTACATCTCAGGCCCCTTTTCAGGTGAGGTCTGAAAGAGGCAGCTGCTCCTTATAGTCTTGGAACTCAGCAAGATAAACACTTTAGGAAGCCACTGTGCTGCCAGGACTGAGATGGAAGCCCATAGAAAGGCCTTGGTCCTGAAGGTCACACTGCATCGTTGGCAGTTCCACCTTCTAAGTGCAGCCCTCTGATTCAGTCTTTAGTGCTCAGTAAACGTCTGATGATTGATGTGCTGTTCACTTTTCCATTGAAGTACTCGGAGGTGAATATGTACGTGGTAGGAAAATATTTGCAGTAACCAGCCGGGTGTGGTGGCGCACACCTGTCATCCCAGCAGTTGGGTGTCGGAGGCAGGAGGATCGCTGCAAATTTGAGGCCAGCCTGGGCTACATAGGTTGTTCAAGGCCAGCCTGGACTACAGAATGAGACCCTGTCTCAGAAAAATATTTGCAGGAATGACCTATACGATAGCTTGAAAGAGGTCCCTGTCCCCATGAAGCCGCTCCCACCCAGTCCCCGCAGCCCAGCTAGCAAGGACTCTAGCCCAGTCTGTGACCCTGAGAAAGGGCTGGCTCTCTCAGGAGAGACAGAAAACAAAGGGCTCAACTTCCTGGCTCTTCAGTTTCAAAACTAGAGGTTTAGACGCAAGACTTCAAAAAGCACAGAATTCTGTTGCTTTTTGTAACTGCCTCCTTCTGGGGTGAATACTAGCAGTGAGTTCTGGGCGAGGCCAGGGTGCACTTGATGAGACAGGCTGGTCTCTGCGAAGTAGCCATCCCGGAGCACTGTAGAGGCCAAGAGCATGCTGCGTCCTCCGGACCATGGAGACCCCCCCAATAATTCTTCTTCCTGCTATTATTATTTTGCCATGCTTTGGCTTGAACCCAGAGAGCTCTACCACTAAGTCACCCCACCATCCCTCCATTAAAATTCAAAACTTCTGTTCTTCAAAAGACGCCATATTGTAGGGAAAGTTGGGGGGACAGGCAGGGAAAGTTAAAGGGTCACATAGAGTGAAGCCCCTGCTGGAGACAGTAGCTAAGGAAAACAAAGAGAGCTCATAAAGAAGGTCTGGCTCACTTCATGCAAGACACGAGTGCCTCCTCCCGGCACCTCCAGTTAAGCAGGAAAGAAACGAAGGGGAGAGGGAGGGCCTACGTTATAAAATCTTACTTAGTATATACAATGTACACTAACGCTTACACACACACCCATGGATACAAGTGCATGTATATTTCACTATTCTCACCATATTAATACGCTAAAATGCACACATATCCTTTTACTAACTCGGTCTTGAATGTAACTCTGCTGTGAATCTCACAAGATCAGCCCCTGGGCAGCACGAAGAGACCAAAGAAGTGCTCATCCAAGGATGTACACATAGGGGATGGAAGGGGCAGTGGCCAAATCAGGGGTCTCGGAGCCCCAAATAGCCAATCAAGTTATAACAACTTTTTTTTTTTTTATGACATGATCTTGCCATGTAATTCAGGCTCCCCTTGAACTCACTGTGTAGCCCAGGCTGACCTTGAACTTGAAGCAATCCTCCTGCCTCAGCTTCCCAAGTGCTGGGATTACAGACGTGCGCCACCTCACCTGGCAAGTTATAATAACTCTCAAGGGAGACAGTCCATTTCTTGTCATGTAATAAAAAAGGCTGAGAACCAAGATCCCCAAGTTCTGGCTCTGGACTCCCTCCCTTACTCTGACAAGGTAGCTATCTCCTTCTTTCTCTCCTTTTTTCCAGTAAAGTGATTTAGTTTCCCCATTTCCCTTCCTTTCCAGTAAAGTGATTCTGTTTCTCCTTCTGAACTTATATCTCTAATTCTTTTATTGATGTAGGTTTTTTTTTTAACCAATGCTAGATAAAAATCTACCCTCACGAGACGTAGCAATACGTAGTACAGGAAGGGGAGGATGAAGGGTGAGTAGCTTTACAATGCAGAAGAGAGCTCACAGACACTACCTCAACCAGGTGCCGAGGTCATCATCAATAGACAAGCCACACTGACAGAAGACGCCCTTGGTGTGACATGATAAAAGTGACATGTCACCTCTGTGCTCTGCTTCCCCCAAACCCACCCATAGCTCCTGTCTAATCACGAGGAAAATATTGCATAAATTCCATAAAGGGGCATTCTACGAAACCTTGACCAGAAGCCAGGCATGGTGGTTGTGCATGCGTGTGATCCCAGCACTAGGGAGGCTGAGGCAGGAGGACTGCAGGGAGTTTGAGGTCAGCCTGGGCTCCATAGAGAGCTCAAGAGCAGCCTGAACTGCATAGCGAGACCATGTCTCAAAACAAACAAACAAACAAAAAAAAAAAACAAAAAAAAACACCCCACCCTGACCGCTACTTGAAACTGCCAAGGTCACTGAAACTCAGGAAAGCCTGAAAAACTGTCACGGCCAAGAGGAACCCAAGGAGACAGCATGACTAAATGTAATGAGGTGTCCTGGGTGGGATCTTGCAGCAGAAAAGGGAAATCCGAATAAAGTATGGACTTTAGTTAATGGTAGTGCATCCGTATTGGTCATTAATCATGACAAATGGGCTATGCTGTTGCCAATAATAGGAAAACGATGTGAGGAATGTGGGAAATCTATGCTATCCTCTCAATTTTTCTGTAAATGTCAAACTGCTGTGAAAAGACTCCATAAAGTGGGTGAAAG